ACTAATTTCTTACCTGCCAAAGTAAAACGTCATATACCTATTTATTAGTAGATGTCCGACCACCTACACATTTGTTATTCCAGTGATTTCATATTTTATGCTAAGAAGTTTGCAGATTGAAGTAGTGGTAGAGAAAATCTCAGTGCAATCAAGGTTATCATATTATAATCTGAATGTGAATAAACCCTTCAGAAATCGCTAATTCAACCTTAGTTTGACAAAAGTTGGGAAACTTGTTGATGGACAAAGTGTCGCAAACTTTCTCTATACGTTTTATGCTGCTTTTAATTTTATTTGTACTGAATGGAATTCATCATCAAGTAATACTTGAACTCAAGAACTTATGCTGTAAATATCCAACTCCAGTATTCTTTGTGCCAGGAAAGTGTATCACAGAGTACTGCATGGTTGCAGCTGTGGCATAACAACAAATTTTAGAGCATATAGATCAGAAATCGGTTATGGTCTGTCAAAAACAAGTAAGGAAACGTTTAACAAGGTCAGTTCTGAATAAATTAATCTATAGAATGTCATAAATTAAAGGTTTCCTTTAATCTCCACAGTTGTTTTGTAAAGACTACGTTCTGGTTATTATAATTAAGGTAGATGAAGTAGAATAAGAGAGACGTTGATAGCATCACTTTTCCTGAATACCATTTCAATTTATCAGTGTCAGACTATTTCGTAGACAGTGAGACTCATCAGTCTAGGTGTGAAGAAAGAGTACCAATCCTGTTCAACAGTAATCAGTAGGCGAGTTAGCTAGGTATGATGAACTGTAGTTAGGTTTACCATCACGGGGGTAGTGTTGTCTTCACAAATGATTGTCATGAAATTAATGTGACTCTATTCGAAGTTAGGCTTGTAAGTCCTAAACACTTTAACTTTATGTAAACAGGAATAGACACTGTATAAAGTGATAGCTGGTACACATTAGTGTATCTACTGAAAAACGTACCAATGGCTATAAAAGGAATGAAACGTCAAAAAAATGGTTCATCGAAAAATTGCTTTCTTTAAATTGAAGCAGAGAAACGAAACAATGAGATTATGAATTCCATTCGGGTTTATTTACCAGTCACTGGACATACTGGTATAGCTTTCAGGTAATGAAAGTTTAGCAGTGATCAGAGTTTATCGACCGATTTTATGAAATAACCACTAAGCTAACTGACGGCATGCTGATGTCAGCTATATTTTTGCACTAGGTATTAAAAGTTGGTCAGCGGGAAGCTGTGTACTTAGGATTTTGCTCCTAGACACTTATCGACAAAGGTCACCTACAATCTTGGAGCTCATGTTTCCTTGGATATTCGAATCCGCTTTACTTCATCCCTGTCAGGCGGGTGGGGTATAACCGTTACCTGAACAGCATTGCTGCAAAGTCTTTGATTTCAATACTTAGTAAAGTGTGAATTCAGATGCCAGACAGAACACGAGTTTCGTAAAATTTATCGATAAGCTTTACCGATGAGTCCCAACAAGCATGAAACATAAGTCAATTGAGGTTTCCCGCCAATCGACTTCCGACAAATAACGTGAGAATTAAAGTTTGAATAGTAGTCTGAATGACATTCACGGATAGTATGTCATGGGCTCAATACTTTAAATGATTTTCTGTCGAATGTTTCCAGTCAAAGTTATAAATATTATAAAAAGGGTGTTGCTCTGTTCGGATCATTTTTGGTCATAGAATCCTTGAATATCACTTCAGTTGCTGCATTCAATGGAGGATTACAAAAGTAGAGTTGAGCATTTTCTAGTCACATGTACAAATTAGTTTCCTTGCATACACAACATTAGACTCAAATGTGTGAGACAGAGAAGCAATCATCTCACATATTTTACACGGTATCCTTAAAAATCTATCACAAAGGTCCTGGTTATTAAAGGCCAAACATGCACAATTTACAGTTTATTCTTTTTGTCATTACTCAAAATCGTAAACCAGAAGTGACTTTGACATTTCCCTTCATGAAAAACCAATCTTAGACAACATGGACACTTTCCTTTAATCATTGTAGTACTTTTAAAAACTGAGAAAAAAACAGCGCTGTAAAGATAAAAAAAGAGTGAAAACTAGAGTGAGAAAAAAAAATCTGCAAAAATGATTTCCAGCTATTGTGTTATCGATTTTCGCATTTCGCTGATATACTTCAATTAGTCGACAGCATCGACACTAAACATTTTATGAAGAAGCCACCAACAAGATTACTTTCACAAGGAAAAATAGCTAATTTTATTAGCATAAAGATATGCTATTGACAAAAATTATTAAAAATGCCCGTTAGTCAATGTAAACAACAACTCTTTTAAGCTGAAAACACCTAGATTCCAGTTCCTCAGAATTGAACCTTTGCTATCAAAGACCTTATGTATTGTCTTAGTAAGTAGAAAATTTATGAAGTACACACGAAAATATCAATATCTTTGAGGAAAAAAGGTTCAACATCTAAAAATGCTGTGCAGTGAAATTTCATAATACAGAAGTAAGCTTTCCATTAACGCTTCCTATCTAGATGAGAAATGTGCAAAAGTTGCCCATCAAGACATGAAAGAATAAGAATTTTAGCAAAGTGTCACTTTTCGGCGATAACATCCTCAAAGCTGTACAATCACAAAATTACACACTTTTCTTGTGATAGGATTTGATAGATAAACCGGTTTATCGAGCATGGCAGTAAAAATAGTGTCAATGTATTAGCTGTCATTAACGTCGAAATTTGTGATGAAAAGTGAAGACTGATCAGAAAATGTCTGAAGTTATATCAAGATGACTAAGTTTAGACAGGAAATTTCTTAGCATGATAAAATATGTGGAAAGAACAGAAACAAGAATGGGTAATAGATTATACAAGAAGTGGACAGTATAAAAAGAAAGAGGTGATTTCAAAGACTGAGAATTAAACCATGAAAGGAGAATAGATTAAACAGTTTTCTTTTCGGGACAAAGCTGAGGTCTCTGCGTATAGATGATAAGAGCTTCAGTGATGCGAAGAATACGAAGACATACACAGTCTTTGTAAGGATTCTTTTTACTTTATAAATGCCTTTGGATAATAAGCCTTTTGTGGCTCGTGTTCATGACGTGCTCATTCATAGCACTTCTTATCGGTCCACTCTTAACTCCTTATGAACACGCGGGATAAGGCTCCTGAATCCGTTTGGATAACAGTCGAGTTGAACAATCTATAGCTGCCTCTACAAGATCAGGCGAACTGATATAAACATAAACACGAATAGAAGTGATCAGATATGAAAGTTCGTCCATCAAGTTGTTAGAAATCATTGTGTCATAGGAGAATACTAGTCTCAGCCTTGATGCAAAGACTTGGAAGATTTGATATCCTCCTCTATAAAGCATCAGCAGCAGAATCACCTTTGAAACTTAGATTCCTATAAAGTATCTTTTTGCGTACACTATTATTTAGTTGATTTCATATTTTTGTCTATAAAGCCTTTAGAAGGTCCCTTTTTCATTTTATAAATGCTTTTGAATGAGGAACCCTTGATACAGAGTGGCCCGTATTCACGACGTGTTCAGCCATAGCACTTCTTTTAGGTTCACTGTTAACGCCTTGTAAACACAGGTGAATTCATTTGTAACTTACAACTCATCCTCGTTTCGGTAGTCTTTCTGATCACACTGAAGTCTCCAAATATTTAGTCATGCTATGAAACTTCCTATCTAAGCTTAGTCATCTTGATATAACTTCAGACATTTTCTGATCAGTCTTCACTTTTCATCACAAATTTCGACGTTAATGACAGCTAATACATTGACACTATTTTTACTGCCATGCTCGATAAACCGGTTTTATCTATCAAATCCTATCACAAGAAAAGTGTGTAATTTTGTGATTGTACAGCTTTGAGGATGTTATCGCCGAAAAGTGACACTTTGCTAAAATTCTTATTCTTCCTTAATGATTGAGAAATGTTGAAAACTACCCACTTAGCACATTGAAGCCTCTGTAAACAGACCAGGAATAAGAAAGAACTGTTATCATCATAATGGTACTGCAGTCAAGTGAAAAACAGGAAATTTATTTCCGATAATCATTACATATATCTGTAAAGATGTCATCAAAATACCTCTCAGGTTTAATTAAGATTGGAGTCTTGTAAAATGATACATAATTAAATATGCTTTGTTGACTGGCATCAAGGATTCCCGTCAATTGCCTACAACAGATTTAAGATAAATGTAGTGTACTACCACTTTGAGCTGCTTAATATGCATGAAGATGTGCAGACTCAGTGTTTGTATCCTTCATCAATGTGCAAGGGAACCATTTTCATTTATGAGTGGTAAGTACTGCCATAAGTAACACACAAATACCATGTATTGGACAGATCTAAGACCAGTCAACAATGATTTTAAAGTTCTGAACGCATGCCTAGTATTGACTGAAAAGGAAAGGAAATATCTTAAGAAACATATCTATCGCTTTCAACCACTTTTTTAGACTATGATGTAGGAAGAGCGAGGGATTTTCGTCGTGACTTTTTGTAAATTCAGTATCTGATGTAAGCCTGTACACTGATGGCAGCATTCTCGTAGTTGGTATTGTATGCGCCAGTGATTTGAATTGAAAAAAGTTTAACTTTTCGAGTCATAAATAATCAAGTTTCGAAATAAATAAAGACATAAGTTTATAAATTCTGTCTATGACAGCTAGTTCTATACGTCATCAATTAGCTAAAATTATCAACGGTAGTTATTGAACTGTACAACGTAGGCATATATATTCGAAAAGGTTCTGCCATATTAGTTTACCTTATAGGTGAACCATTGACAGATACAACACTTCAAAATCTGTCAATATACAAGTGTAAGATCAATGGATATACAGTTGTCCAATTGGTGAATCTTGTTTGGTCAATCTAATAAACTGCCCACACATGCATTTTGTGTAGCAAATCAAACATTCTGTCAGTATTATTCATTTGATTGGTTGAATTCTATCTTCGGTTTGTTTTGCTAATTTCAAAAATCTGTTAGGGAAAGGTAGTTTTAAAGGAATATTCTTGCGTTAAATTCTATTCGAGAGAGAGATTAATACAATTCATCTTAAACACTGGTCAGGATGTGTAAAGTAATCTCAAGTACAATTTTGGTGCTGTTCAATATTCCACTTGTGGTACGCTTTCATTTTTCCGATTGTCGATTTGTATATACCATGTTTACTATTATTATGTCACTGTATGTTTTTTGAATGATAAAATTATTCAGTACGGTGGTTTAAGTGGTTTCATTTCATCTCGTTTCAAATTGCAGTTTCATCTACTTATTAGTTGTTATTACCATCTTAATGTACGGTTATCATGAAATTTAGGATGCAAGTCACTTGCTTAAACTTAGCAGGTTGATTTTTCGACTTGAACTCTCAAGTAATATTCTTTATTTTAAGCTCTAGCGTTATAAGCTTGGCTACCAATGGTACAACATCTGTCTCATGGAGTTCATGCCTACGTTTAAGAGAACTAATAATATGAGTCCAATCAACTGAACTACTATTGGCTATTCTTGAGAGTGTATAATTTATTTAAGCAAATCGTTGAATGGGTTGATTACCTACTCATCTACTATGCATTCTAATCAAACAGTTTGAGGAGTTGGCATTGTCGAGATAAAATTATATAAAAGTACTTAAGTTTTAATCACAGAACATGTCTACGCGAGTCGAGGCACAGAATGTTAGACTAAACACAAGTAGTTTGATTATTTTGGATAAGAAAGCGAATGACTTGATGCAGTCAACAGTTGAAGTTCAGACAGAACACTTATAATATGTACTTATTTGGGTAAAACATTTTTTCAGTTTATAACGAATGAGGATAGAAAACAGTCTGTCGAAGAGCTGTTTAAAAAATTCAGTGTGAAATACTTTTTTTAAAGCGTGAGTAATAAGCAATTTATTTCTGAATAGTGAATCGGATCCCATGAATCTTAACTGCACAAATTATTACTGTGTCTTATCACTTGGCTGAACTGAGGTCACTCGCATTGTGAGTAGCAAGTCAGACTGCAGCACTTATCTTTCAGTTGGACAGCCATATTGGTCACTTATTTTGTACAAATTATCACGATCCTGGTAACGACAAACAATTAATGTTCAATGTTGACCATAGTTGTGAGTATATTCCAGTGGCATTAAATCGCTACAGTAACACTGTTAGCGAATTAAGCAGGCGGAAACTGTTTTTTTTAAAGAGGAAGGCTCAAAGTTTATGACCGGATCAAGAATGGTTTGTATGAGCTGTAACCGAAAGTGCATAATGAGATGAATGTACTGTTCGACTTCCTTCGTCATATTGTACAGAAAATTCGATCAATTGTAGTTTCTTGGATGATTCTGAGCAATAGTGGGGCATTTTTCCAGAAACCAAGCTTTTTGATGGCTTATCTTCATAATAAAAATTCCTCAGAAATTTCTGAGTAATAGTGTAGTGGGTGCTACTGGTAAGAATGAATTTAAGTAGTATATGTTAAGAGGTAGGAAGAAGTCATAGGCAATTATGAGCAATGGATGAATATTTCGTCCAGAGAAACGCAAAAAATACCAAGGCCATATCAATAGCGAGACGAGATACAAGATGATGAGCCTAAGCATATTGTGTAAATTCATACTTCAGTGGAAGGTTATAATATTTTATTGGTAATGTAAAAATTGTCATTATAAACAGTTCTACCGTGATTCGCCCTTTTCTTTACTAGAACCATTTAATAACAGGGAATTTCGTGAATCCTGAAGGCATGAATATATCAAAATTCCCGAGTAGCTCTGAAAAGATGAACAGTAAACTTTGACGAGTTCTTCGTAATATTCATCTTTTGCTTAGTCCGCAAGTTGTTTATACCTGAGTTATAAATAAGCAAGCGGTTACTCTCCCAGTTCTAGGAAGACTGGGAGCAAAGTTTTTCAAAAACAAGCTAAACACCAACGAATTCGAATAAGAGACTCATGATTTGTACTATAAAAGAGTTGTATGAAATTGTCTTGTCCCACAATGACAAATAAGCACAACATTTATCGGAACATAGTTTCGTATTTGAAAGGAACCTAGATTATGAAACTATCTTTAAAGAAAAAAGGATAGTCGACATGGCGAGAAATTATTGAGCACATTAGAAAACACTGAGTATGAAATGCTCAATATGGTTCACGGCAGGACAGCATAATATCATAGAAGAACTAGGTTCCGAACAATCATGGGGAAACTGGTCTCGACATTCTGGATGAATATAAGATTTGGGCTTCAGAAAAACCAACCTCTGAAAGTGGACCACAACTATACAGATTACTGATTAGTTTTATGCATTAAAGAATATCAACTTGAGGGCAGTTCAAGCTACACATACATCAGTTGTCTGGATCCCATAAATTGTCTATGAGTAGAAGATATTTTGCTGGAGCTTTATTGTAGTAGTCAGTATTCGAGCACACTAATATACTTCTTGAAATATTTTATATCAGTCAGAATGTCTTGGTATATAGTAATTTCGACGCATCATTTCTATAAGAATCAAACCTTTTAATTGCATTATTTCCATGAGAGTTGATGATAACAAACTTTCAAAGTTATCGCTTCCTGGGAGAATATTTAATGGAAAAAAAGAAACAAAACTGTATGCAGTGAAGTGTTCCCACCTAAAATGTTATGAATACTAGTCTTTCCCTAATAACTGCTTGAACATCCTACAAGGAGTGAATAAACCTAATTTCATGTGTTCGTGCAAAAATGACACTCAGTAATGAGATTATTAAAACTGGTCGAATGAAATTTGACTATCCCGTTGTGAATTGTTGGAGAGTCGAAAACGGGGAAACTGGTTTTGAATCAATCATTGTAGCTTCATTGTTGATAAATGTTAATACTATAATGCCTCAGTGTTATCTCTACCTTTCCGTCATGCTACTGTATTTCGCCTTTCTTGAAGAAAATATCATCTAAAATATTTTCAGGTTAAAGTTGTTACCCGTCTTTTATGCCTTATCTGTGACCAATTTATGTTGATGAATCAATGCCAAGAATGGAAAATTCCCCAGTGTGTATATGGTGTTATATACCCCAGACATTCTGGTTTTGCTTTATCAGTAAAAGTGAAATCCTTTAAATCGAGTAACCTATACTATCATAAATACGGTAACTCACCCTCACCCGGTTGCTCAGGCTGAAGACATTCAGTTCCAGGCTTTGATTCAGTCAACGTTTTAGTGTCAAATTGGATATCATTAATGCAGTAACTCGTGTTTGTGTTTCTATCCGTTAGATAAGGTGTCGTTTTATAACTGATCGTCAGCTAGCTGAAAGTCATTTCAGAGAAATATGATTTCTTACTTGAAAACAATAAGTCTAGAGATTTCCTACAAATTCCTAAAGATAAGCAACCCCTTGACTTTACTTTTTATCCGACTTACTCCTATGAAATAAATCGTTGCAACTGATGCAGCAGTGCGTTAGTTCAAACTCTCAGTCTGACGTAGCTCAGAAATGAAAAATGAAGACAGACAGACAAATATTTGGATAAACGAGAAGCAGTGTATCATTCCTGGTGACAATACCGGTAAAAGAACAGTACTAGAATGTGCAAGATATTTAGAGAGACTGACTGTCTCCAAAACCTTTCAATTCACCTTCTCTGATCACCGAGGTAATTTGATCGTCAGGAGTGAGTTTTCATGCTGTCCACTCCCAGTATACCTTAGCAGCATATAATTCCTTAATGCACTTCCACTGTAACTGAGCTATTTCAAACAGTACTGCTAGTCAAGCCTTAATTTCAGTTTAATCACTGTATTTCTAATCCGTTTTATCAAATCTGTCCTCAAGTCTTGTTATCTCTATGGAAAACAAGTTGGAAATCAAAGCTGGGAACAAATGACTGCTTATCAGACTGGTTAGCACGCTTTTGTTCTGTGAGCTCAGATTATGTACACATGGATGCAGTTATCCATGTTGCATACTTACTTCTCACGTTATTTCTATGCTGTGCTAATCATTTCCTCCAATTGATTGTGTGACGGGGAATCGTTGGATGAATCTTATTCATATTTTCATGACTTCTGTGGCATTCAAATGTACACCGATTTCTATTTTGTTAATAGATTTTCAAAGCACCGTTTCTAAAATAAGAATAACGACACAATAGTCAGTTACTTGATTACATATATGGATTATTTAGTCAGTCAGGTATTTGAGAGTCTATTACAACCAGACAAAACAAATCGATTAAAAATCACAGGCGATTAGAGGGTTTATCGATTTCTCTTTTGAACTTACCGCACTTAAAAAGGGAAGAAGGAATCTTGGTTGTTGTCTTGAAGAAAAAACTAGCTGAATAACTCATAAACACTTGGATAATGGAAGGAATAGAATATTTAAAAAGTTGAACCAAGGACGTATGTAAACACAGAAATCATTTACTCAATACTGAGAAAAGCCACTTTACCGTGTGTAATAAAGACAATGAAGAATTTCTAGACACATTCTCGTCAATAACCAACTCCAGAGATGGAAGTGGATTTGCGATAAGTGGAAAAGAAGCGAATAAAGATTTTCAAGCCCATGCAGTGATGTGAGATCTAAAGATATTGCAATCATATCAATGGACACTCAGTAAATTTAATTCGAACTGATGTGTTTGCAATAGAAGATGACGATTTCATATCTTCTTCTTTGGCAGTTGATGACGGCGGTACCATTGCGCACCAGCTAGCTGATAAAGCGGCACTTATATGATTTTCAGTGGGTTAATGTTGGCGAAAGATCCGAATCGTTTTTAAAGTCCCAGTAAACCGAACTTGATTAAGTGTTATGCGTGAAGAAAAGTATTTTAGCCAACGAAAATATAACCTCATTACCTTGTACTGTTCCCCCCGGAAAAGGCATAGTTATGGAAGGTAGATAAACCAACCAGCTGCTTGCTGGACCTTAGGTAGGTAGCCTACACCTCGGCCCACACTGAAGTGCATAATAAGAGACTTCATGGACTAGTCCTGCATCTTTGTTCAACGATACTTAATCCTCTTCTAGTCTATTTTTGTCTAAACCAGTATATGTTACACACGCATTTTAACTATCTTGATTAGCGTATTTTCTAAACCACGCTGATTAACTTAACACTTTCACCTATTACACCATATTCAACTTAATGTTTGTTTATTCCGTGGTTCTTTCTATGTGATCCAGATCAATTCTAAAGAATTATCTTATAGATGCTAGGTGTAAAGTAAGTACTAAGTAATCAGCCTTTTACTTCAAAGATCCAGAAGACCCTGAATTCGTTCACTAAGGATATATCGTCTGTACACTCTAGATTTAATAGACAACTTGTTGGGTTGTCATAGTCAAGCCTTGGGAAACCCGAGTTAAGGAAAGTTAGTTCTGTGAGTTCATTCGTAACAGGCTTGATCAGGAGTAGTAACTGTGAAAATTCGTGGTGGATACCATTTATTTCTGTCACCTAGATTATAACTATCCTTAAACTCTGGGTCCATGGGTCAGAGAAGTGAGTCCTGCTGAGCAGAAAATACTTACTTGGCACTCTCGTCACATGGTCAGCCAATAGGATAAGGTCCCTTAACCAAAAATCTGAATGTGGTTGCCAAGTATGTCATGGTTCATGACCCTGTTAAGTGAGATAACCCGATCAGTACATCCTTTTCCAAAATTGAAGTTCGTGTAGTTTTCCAGAGCCAGACATCAAATAACATTGGACCCTAGGATATTATAGACTGTTTCAGTCTCTCTAGTCACCCACTGGATTTCACGAGATGATTCCATCCCCCCTTTCTAATCAAAAAAGGTGAGATACGCAGTTAGCGCCTTGGTGCTATTTCCTTTCTTTGGTCTCAACAGATGTCTAAATCAAACTAATCAGTGATTCTCGACCTTCATTTACAAAGGCTTATGGAGGCAAACCATCTGATGAAAATACATTAATTTTGTCCAGCAGTGGGTAGTTCCTTTCATTTGAATAGTCTTCATATGCTATGATGGTTTTCCAAAAATACAACGATGATTCCGATAAGGCCGGTTTGACTCACCGGTGAAAAATTATGCACTGTAATAGGCGAGGAAATATCCGTAACTGTTAAGAAACCTTTGATCAGATTATGTTTACATTTGTGATAGAGCATTAATGAAGAGTCAGAAACTTGAACAAAACACCTATCCAGTGTTCTATGGTTCTTAGCGGTTTCCCAATTCTCTATCGGTGCACAATGAGAACTGTCCTTAAAAAATTACAGCTTGATAAACACGGCATTCAAATGTGAGGGGTGAATAAAGTTGAATGAAAGCCTGAATAACAGGCAGATATAAATCACTGCACTCGGAGTACGGGTTCGATGTTCAATCACCTGAGTTACGGGATGATGAGATGCAATCAATACTTAGATTTAAGGTTTATTGGTAAAAATTTTCCTGGCTGATTGGTTGCTTTCAAAACTTATAGAGAAACTACTGCCAAATTCGAAAGGCCCAAGTTAATACGGCTTTAGATACCTGCATTCCCCCCAATTTATTGTCCATTTAAGAACTGCACCGAAAATCGTGTTAGGAAGCCGACCCATAACGACTCACTAATATGAGGGAGGCAAATTTTCGTTACCGAAAACAATGTACGGTTCATCCTAACAACTGATTGTTTGCCAATCATCATCAGAATGCTATCTCTTCCAGGAGATGTTATCAAATATGACAGGAGGTGTTGCATTCTCGATAACCCAATCAACCTTGAATGTAATAACTGGTCTTCTCCCTAACCGGGTTTCCTAGTTCAGATTACATTCTTCTATGTTAAAAGTACATAGATTTTTTGGAAGCAAACCAGACTCATGTAAGATACACACAGTCTGAATTGGGAATGCCATAACTGAAACCCTATTTTCAAAGTTCCCCTAATTTCTTTAGAGAGAGTAAATAGTCAGACTGTAACATGCAATTTACTTGATGCTATTAGTGGTGTCAGGATAGTCAGCATCAAAGATATGAGTTACATACTACTGGATGAAATCAGTAGTTTCAACCTATTTTTCCCGGTATTCAAGAGAAAGATCGAAGTGGCTTAGTCAGTAATACATCGTTCTATGTTGACCATGCAGGCAGAAAGTATTACAGTAAGAAAATTCAAATGGAATCTTACCTATTATTAGCAGCTGAGAACTTTTTCGCTATTAAATCTTTCTCGGATTTCTGTTTGCATTACTAATTATGCAACACTATATACACCATCCTGAGAATTTTAAACTTTCACCTTCAACACTACTAGTGAGCTAAATACCCATGACTGACTTATATGGAAAGTGAATTGAAGGGAAAAATGGATTCCCGGATTACACTGAAGTCTAGAACTCGGCGTTAGTCACGATAGGCTGGTCAGTCTGCATTTACAAGAAACATGGTTTAAAAGGTTTGGCTACCTGCTTATTAAGAGTTTCGTGCAACAACTATTTTAGCATTTTCGCTAAATAGAAGAATTAGGTGAATTATAATCCGTGAACCTGTTCAACCAGCACAGCAATTAGCAAAATGTGTTTTGCACGTGAAAGTATGCTTATCTTTCTTCTATCTCACTATCACCGAACTATTTGAATCATTATGGTTGTAGATAAATAGTTGGGTAAATGGAAAAGGGAATGCAGATATTTGTTCATCAATTTATGATAGCTTACTAATTTGTTTCGAGCTTCGATAAACAACAAGTTTTGTTTATTTCTGAATCATATATATATACGTTATACTGAAACAGTAAAAATGTAAACAGAAGAATCGGAATCAAAATATGTGAGGAGATATTATCTATATATACCATAATGGTCAGCAAGCAATGTTCTACCACTAGGACAAAAACAAGCTGTTCAGTTCATGATCGTGGTTTGATCAGTTAGTCAAGTGATAGAGGACAAAATCAAAGTTCAGCGACTCTTGCCGACTAACTTTCAATTTAAAAACAGTACACCATAGTACCATGCTGCTTAGCTTGGTGGCCTTATTATCAGTCTGGTCAGTAGACTTGAACCAGCGCTCAGAAGTTGACAGCTACATCGACATTCATTTAATAACCGACTCATGCACATAAACCAGTCTCACAAAGAGCCGCTCGTAACCTGAACACTCCGATGCTAATGCAACTGGCTGCAGCATAATGTGGTGCGGAAACAGGTCTGTAATGAAGCATCAGTTCTCCTGAGCTTCTAGAAACTGCTTTCTGATAAGTAGCAGTAAGTTCAAAACACAGATTCGATTGATTAAGTCCTGACGTTTAGCATTATTAACACTTTAGCATCCTTTAACCGTAGCTCATTACCGTATCTGCGTAAATCAGACATTATCAAATGTGATAAAAGATATATTTGAAGCCGGAATGATTTAGAGAAAGGTGTTTGGATGACTTGAATTCAACTATGCCAAGTTCTTTGTGTTAAGTTAGCTGTGCGTTTAAATGCTGTATACAACAAGTCAAATAGGTAGGAAACGAAATTATCATGTTTCCAGGCTCAAATTAATCTGGTGTTGAGAAGTTTGTGTGAAACAAGGCATTTGTTTCCATTACGATAACTTCAACTTATTTTGGTGAGATTTGAAGAACTGTGTTTGTAGGAGACTGATATTTCCTGAAGTCACTGTGCTCTAAACAACTGCTTGACTCTCATTTGAGCCTCCTAAATTATGTAAATCCCTGACCCCATCCTTTCATTGCCATTCCAAGTATCTTTAAGTTTCACATCACTCTTTAATATCTCAAGCTGCTGTGGATATTTGACGTGCAGAAAGCACACAGCATACAAACTTATGGTACACTTTTGTGAACCTTTTTGCACAACTGCAATTGTTGCAACTAAATTCTCAGCTGAACTAGGATATACAGATGGAGATGGACTCAGTTTGATCGGAGGATAGTAAGTCTTATGTCATGAGTGATCCAAACCGTTAGGCATAAAAACGTGTGATAGGAAGAGAAAAATCAGAAGACTAATGGCACTGAGATTCAAAATGTTTCAATTAATTGTTTTGGTCAGTAACCAACACATTTGAAAAAAATGAGTCCGAACACCAGTGTAATTTTGTTGCATAAGACGTTTTGCAGTAGAATTTGAATAAAATTAGATAGGGTAAACAACATGATTCCCCTCACCAGAACACTGAAATATGAAATAATTGATTTGTGAGTTAGGAAGGAAAAATGATAACTAGTGATGAAGATAAACAACAGTTCGCGTTCAGTATTATACTAAAATGCAACACTTAATGGCTAGCGAACTAACCTACTGAATTATGAATACTTCAGTGTTGTTTACTAGTAAAATAAACAAAAGTGGACAAGCAAAATGGAAAATTAACCGAACATCTCTGCAAGCCTCACGTCAAAATACTAAGGATTGAAAATTAACAGATGGATATGTACTGATAGCGTGTAAATGTGTAGAAAGAACATAATATCGATGAGATTGAAAAGTAACTTGACCAGATGTACAGCACGAACCGAAGAAAAATTAAATCATGATAACTTGTACGTGGTGGTTTGCTCTGTCATTCAGAAACTGTTCTGCTCACCTGCTGTGCATCAGTAGTACAAGAAAAACGATTTTTAAGATTCTATCTATTTTATCCGGCCGCTAGTAATGACTAATTTCGATATTGGGTGATGATTGAGGGTGAAATGGAAATTGTGGTCGCGGCGGGATTCGATCCAGCGACCATTGGGTTTCCGATCTGTTGCTCTACCAACTAATCTACGAGGCCTATTTTTTTTTATGTAAGGAACAATTATTTACACAGGAAAGGACTATAATAAGCATTTCAATGAAATGAACTTTTCTTCTCCTTTTGTGATTTATTTTAACCACTTTTACGATTTGTGTATTCCAGCTCATAGGCCTAGGACTGGTGGTCTTCGGTGCTTTAATAAGATGGAATGAAAAAATTTTGGTTGAACGAATTACTCCTGCACTTATTGAAGAAATCGATGATGAAAATGCACGTGAAGCTGCTCAACAGCTGTTAGAGGAAAAAATCACCCTATTCGGTAAGTTCTTCTGCTTAAAATTGCTTCAAACCGGGATAAACGTAGAGAATATCAGAAATGAAAAAAACAGCAAAAGTTTTCTTTACCTTCCTTTGAGGCTGATTATTAGTAAAAACTGTTTGCCGTCTTTAGGAATGATACCAGGATGTTCAGCCTAAACTGTAGGCAGTGAACAACAATTAAGGATTCGGTATTAAGTCACCTCAACTGAAGGAATTTCTAGGCAGGACATTCTCCCTTTGGTCTGAGCTTGTTTGATATGAAATTTTTTCATGATAGCAGGAAGAAAAAGAATGGACAATTAGCTGGTGGTGATTTCTGCTTCTGTAAATTATGGTTTAGTTAAGGGTAATTTTTAACAGAAGTTTATTTTAGAGATAAAAATAACCCGAAACGAGGCGGCGTTGAGTTTTTTTATTGTATGAACAGAAATGTTACATCATAGAATGATACATTTTTGTAACTAAATGAACAATAGAACGTTGAAAGCATGATAACTCAGTTTGTCATTCATCATAGTACTGTATTACAAGTACAGCTCACTATATCTTGACCGTTAGCAAATGTTGGACTATAGACAAAAATTGAAACTTACTCTAAGTTGGATGTTAACCGGATATCAATCAGTGTTCTAGTTTTACTTATATTTGATACTTTTTTTCAATATCCTGTGCACTAGCTTCCTATGGTTTGGCAATCTTTTTGTTTGGACTCTTTATCTGTCTGTTATCTTTGTGTGGAATATGCGGTGTATGCTGTAAAAACAAAATCCTACTTGGTCTGGTAAGTTATTATACTATCACTTGAAGTAAACGTTTTCTTGCCTAATTCAGTGATCAACATTGTTTAAATATAAAAGTCTCAATTGCACATAAATGACTTTACTAGGATAAATAAAGCAGACAGTGTATTTGGGTCATTCTCCCACGGGATCTTTCATTATTGAGGCTTTTATTGATTGTTTAGTGAAATAAGCGTAAACACGCCGCTTGAAGACTATACCATCTGATATTTTAAAGCCTTCAACCTAATTAACGCGGATAATGGACAGTCTGGGTTGACAGATATACTAAAATGTAGTTGAGATCACTATTAAACTATCAGCATAAACCGAGGCATTAAGTTTATTCAAGTTAGCAGACAGTGATTGTAATACCTTATACCCATACTCATAACTCCTGGTGCTAGTTGTTGGAGTTTTAGAGATTGAAGTCTCTAGGGTGCATCTCAGATGTGAGTCACGTTAAGAGCACCCACCTGTAGAAAGACCGAAATTTACTTGCACATTAAATTAGAGACTGGATGAAACATGTATCATATGTCAGAATGGCAGCTAACTCCCAAAACAGTATTCAAAGTGTTTTGAAGAATTGCCTGACTGTGTTTACAAATAATAATGTAGAATTCCCTCTATCTCCCATCCATAATTATCCTCCTAAAAGTGATATAAAAGGCTTCTGAATGTCCGCAGTTGAAATGCTTCACTGCTACTTAACCATGAAGATTGTTCAATTCACTGATTCATGCTGAATATTAGTTTTGGCTATTCGCCTACTAAACAAGAGGCAGTACGCAAGAGTAAGTATTTTTATTATACATCATACTCATTCTTTTGCTTTTCCTCTCTGTCCTAGTTCTTTTCTTAACCACCATGCAGTCTGCGCTTTCATGATGGCATTTCTTTTGGCTTCACAATCTCCATTCACTTCTGTTTTCCACATTTTGTAACTGTCTGTTGTAAGGCAATAAAGTAAAAGAAACGCCAAGGGCGAAATATCAAACAATAAGACAAATTCCATATCGATCGTATGCAAATAATTCACAATACCAAACGGATATGATGGTTGTACATAAGGAGGAAAAAAACCATGAACACAGAAAGAACAGTCAATCTTTACTCCTTAGTTTGAAGATAATAAATACTTGCACCTGTGTTCGCCTACTTAGGTTTTCTGTTACGGTGAACAGACGGCTGTAGGGTTTTTAAAAAATAAATTATACACCTACAATCACCTATATGTATATACGTAAAACAGGAATTTGCGTACAACATTATCACTTGTTTTTGAAACAAGAATTTCCAAAAGGACTGGAATCTAGTGGCACTCTCTAGGAAACGCAACAATTAAGTTTTAAAACTGTTGTTGGTAATTGTAAGCAAGATACATCCTTCTGCGATAGTCTAGCCCTAGTCACCAGATATTTCAATCAGATGTGTAAACCTTGTTTTGAGAGTATGATTTAATGGAACTAGATCTAGTTTTCAGATACTTTAACAATTCCTGGGAATATTTGTGCAACAGAGTTCAAAAAGTGCGGTTTCTGCATTCAAAGTAACAAATAACCCTTAACAACTTGTTGTTAGGGCTTTTTAATCTTACTTCTAATCCACCGTTTTGGCAGAGGATTTAAGCAATCTACGCATTCCAGAAACTTCGTTCTCAATGTGGCGATTTTGATGAACTCTGATATGTGACAACTCGCTTATAATTATCAAGGTTATTCAGAGTGGATTGTTTGCAGTCAACGTATCTGCAATTGTAACAGTTCATAATTCCGTGAAATCAACTTGAGAGTTGATTCTATTTACAACCCCAACCCATGTCTCAACATGTATTTTAAATACAACTATTTTTGTTAATCTTCATGTTGCTTAGTTTTCATGAAACTTGTCCCTTTTCATAACAGAATATCATCTGTCCAACTGATTTTGTATTATTCACAACTGAAGTTTGTAAAAAATCTCACTTTTTGCATCAGAACACAAACAAATTTTCAAAATACTACTCTTCCGAGTTTGTTTCTAACTTGAATCACGTTTTGCAATTCCATACTGCTTCAAGTATTCTGTGAATTAAATGATGTAATACCAGTGACATCACGATAAAGGACATTTGAAGTGTTACAGATAGCATAAAGATGTTAAGCTTGACGGAATGTTTACTGAAAAACTGGGATTCAAGGTTAAAGGATATCAAATTTACTTGGTTTTGAGCATTTTCCAAAACTGGTTGGTTTCCTTCCTGTAAACAGCTCATAGAAAACGGAATAAAATACATTCACTAGAATACTGGACAACTGATGAGGCTGAAAATCAGTGCTAGTGGCTGTGCTGCATTAACATTTTTTTTGTTTGAAATTGGGTTTTCTAGACATGAGTGATCAATCTGGTATTGAGGATACTCAGCAGAATAATTGGTCTGATGAGAATCAAATAAGTGCATCTTTCATTCTGACGATAATGATACATAAATCTTCCTCGATTGCAGTGGGCAAGCAGTTCGAGTAACAGTCAGATATAATCAATCATGAAGCACAGTTATGAATGTATAATGACAGTTTCTTTTGGAAAATACAACAATGAGATCTCATTTCAGCATGACCGGTGGCTGTTTTCAATATCTTTCTTCCTAGCCAAATGGATTGTTAAGCTTATTAACAACGAAATGTACACCAGAAGTGTAAACGTAGGGGACGGATTTTAAAAGCGCATATCTTATGAGTAAATTTAGGGCACTCGTTCCAGTATTTCCTAGACATAGTTTCCCACAATTTCCCTGAATAAATGTCAGACACTTACCCAACTGACTTGTTATTCTCATTACATTTTAAAAGAAACTGAATTACTTGAAGCCATTAGATTCGAAGATGTTGCATTACTTTTGTGATCCTCATTTCACCGAACGGTGGTAGTTCACTTTGATTTGTTAGTTTGTGTTTAATTTGGAAGACATCCGATAGAATATTATCCCAGACATCGAATAAACTCAATCGTTTATATTGTCATAATGATAAGGATAGTTAATTTGTCACAAAGAAACGATACGTGGTAACGTTAAAAGTGTGAAGCTGTTACTGTCAAAGAGGTGAACACATATCTAATGGTTATGTGTTCCTTTTGTATACAGGGAGAAGACTGAAAGATTATCGCAATTGAAAATTCACTTCAGAATGCATTATATTATTTTTTTAAATCTGACATATTATATGCTGTCATATATATTTTTTCCGCATTATCAGAATATTGTGGATAACGTAATATGTTTTCTATTCATTTTGCCATTCTGGTTGCTGCATACCAAATCGATTTCAGTATGCAACTTTTCTTCTGATCATATTTTTGGCTCTACTTGTATTCACCATTGTGTTTGGAACACGTAAAAACTGGGTAAGTTCCGTTTTTTAATTGAACGTTAAATTTAGCCAGCTGAGGATTACAGGTATACATTGATACAAGATGTGACTAATTTACTTCATATTAGTAGACTTTTGTCAAACAAAACGTTCAAGAATTCAGTCTGGAAAGCATTCATTTTTCTACAATAATTATCTATGGAGGTGATACAGAAAAATAAGGTTCTTAAAAAAGTATCCCAACCGATTAACTTATCATGTTATCAAGTATTGCTTAACTGAAAGGAATCACTCACCAGCAATCCTAAAATTTCTGAAAGCAGTCAAAAATTCATGCTGCTAGTGAGTTGTGTGGAAGAATGAAGTCACGCTTTGGGTAGTTCTGCTTCTTCATAAATTATTCTATTGATCCGTAGTATAAGCACTCTTACACTGCTTTGTAAATCTATATCCCTTAGATTTTCCATCATTTTTCTACTAGAAGAAGGAGTAAATATTTTATTATACTGTTTTACCTTGAATAGAAGTCAGCCAGTGGAACATTGCTAAGGTGGAAGCAGTGAAAGTGGTTAACTTCTCAGTTAGGGACTCAACAGTAGTTCATACCTATGATTACGTGTTGAATTTAACCCAGATCGTTATTTCTTGCTACTATCATGCTACCCTATTTCACTAAGTTAGACTTTAGTGACTCACGTTTTCCACCATCTGGAAGTTGAAGCATAGAATGAGAACATTATTTGATGCAACCAGCAGGTACTTATCCTTAAACCCAACTGGGCTGATTCAACAATCTATAGTTTCTCACCAGAAGTCGCTGGCAAGCACTGGATTAATATTCACTTTGAGGGCTTCTGGAGAATCGATTTTTGTGAAGAAACATCTCATCATTGATCGCTATAGACTCCACCTCTCGCGGAGCCTCGAGTGCGAACTGCTGAGGATCCCTAAACTAGGACAAAAGGGTGTTTAATGCCCTCAAATTTTTGATGATTCTCTATTTAATACCAATCGATGATGAAAATTCCTTTGAAATCAACCCATTGCCACTGAACCTTCAAGTGAGAGTAAATGTAGTATCGGATTTTAAAAAGGTAGTCTTAGATTCTTTGATCGTTGACTTCCTTACACTCCTTTCATCAACAGGGATTAATAATTCGCAGTGCATGGTGCATGGTTTATTGCTACGTTATTGCAGTTACGTCTTTTATTCGTCATAAGTAACTGTTTGTTCCAATATGAAGGATTAATTATTGAAAGTACGTATTCAGTTAGTTGACCAACCATTTGTACTTTATGCTCATTCGTTTAGTGACTCATGATGGTTAGTACCAGATTACTTTGAATAAACAGTTTCAAGTTATTAGCGAAGTATATGGACATTTACAGTGTTTAAGTCTAAATAGACATCAAAGCAACATCAGAAACGAATAACTTTGTTGTGTTTGTAGCTTATTCACATATCGAAATGTTTATTTAGCTCACAAAGTTTGATACCAAACAGTGAATCGTCAGTCTGGGCTTGAACTCATGCCATATCTTACGCTAACTAAAAATACCTGGCTACGTCTGCACTGCAGTGGAATTAAAGTGAAACATACATATATATATATATATATATATATATATATATATATATATATATATATATATGGAGAAACGTCATAGACTTGATTCTTTTGAAGTTAGTTGACGCAACTTTTATTTTGAAACTCTGAACACACTAGAGTAAAACGGTGACATATATTTATACCGTCAACCAGATTAATGTTAACTACTTTAGCAGTGCATCGTGATATTCAAGCCTTTTAACCTCTCTGTTGCCACCACACTCTAATAATTAACTTACACTTATCTGGCAATCCCAACTTGGCTTGGTATGACATGTTGGATTGTGATAAAAAGTTTAAAAAAAGATTCAACTTTCGGAAGTCATCTTTCTTGTTTAGTAGGCACAATTTCAACTAACGAACATGTTGACCGCCTTTGGTAAGTAAAGTTCACCTTAAGCTAATTTCATACTGGTGATATAATTCAGAGGAAGAAATTTTCACTTGTCTTCGAAACGACCGAAGACTGTGGCTTTTAAACTTAACATCTTTCACCAAGTCTCATTAATATGTATGAAACTTGGTCAGTGTAGTAGAATGTTATTCCATACTAGATTTGTTTATTTGATTTATAATATATAGTGATGCAGTATTATTTACTTGATGATGTTCGGAGCATAAATTATCATAACTTTGAAAAAACACTAAATCCCCACAAACCACCAAATAAATTATTATAATCATAATCATACCGATGTGATCACACCACTTTCAACATCCGATTTTGATAGTCCTATCACCTCATATTATTTGTGTGTATTCGTAGCAACATTTTCCACATCTCTGGTATGGGTGTCGCTTCGTTCATCTTACGTGTTGGATGCTGATTCGATGAACAAGGATTCAGTAATCAATCCCTGATTACTTAAATATATTGGACTCAAGTAGAGTAGTTTTATCCCACCCAATTGTGTGGTTGTGTGTTAATGCACGCACTGCAATAGCTGAGTGTTTTTCTAGATTATTGATCATATTGGGGTATGTCATTCTGTATTTAGCTAAATTCCTATGTTCTGTTAGTCTAACTGACCCCGACCGGGTAGTTTGACTTATGTATTTGACATTGTAGTCATTGCATAGAGTTTGGTGGATTAGATTATTTTTCTTAATTGGATCTATTGGATCTTTAAACCGACAAAATCTATCTCTGGATGCGTTTGTAGGTTTAAACGCCACCCGAATTCCAATCTTGTAGGAAATCCTACATAAAGTTTCTGATGTTCCATCCTGAAATGGTAACACAATGGTGACTTTGAACTTATTTATGTTTGTGTTGTCACTATTATTCATATTCGTGCTACTGTTATTATTTCGTTTCTTATGTGTTTGCACTAATTTCTTGATAAACGACTGGGGATAGTTAACTAATAACGCTTCTCTTATGTGCTTCAATTCCTTGTGTTAGGTTTTTTTTACTGAGTAGTGTGTTTTCTAGCTCTATCATTTAGACCTACTTTAATTGACATTGGATGAGAAGACCCAAGGTCCAAATCACATACCAGGTGGGAAATGAACAGCGTGAATTACCTACGTTGGATATCAGGATAAAATGAAGGAAAGACGGTGGTTTGGATATTACCGTCTACAGGAGACCGACACATTCTAATATGTATCTAGACTTCAGATCATCTAACCCAAAGTCAATTAAGGTAGGTTTAGTCAACTGTCTAAATGTCAGCTAAAAAACTCACAAGTCATTGTAAAGACTTCAACAAGAAATTGAAGCGCACAAAGGAAACGTTACCAATCAATAATTATCCTCTACAGTTTACCAAGAAATTTGTACTATCGGGTTCAGTTAGATTAACGTAACATAGGAATTCAGCCAAGTGTAGAATAACAGACCACAATAAGATCAGTAATCTAAAAAAATTCGGTTACTGCATGGTATGCACAACACAGTGGGATAAACCACCGTACTTCAGTCCAATGGTCAGAGATTGGTTCTTGAATAGATACCCAAAACATGTAAGAGGAATGAAGCAACACCCATACCAGAGATGTGGAAAATGTTACTACGAATACACACAAATAATATGAGGTGATAGGACTGTCAAAATCGGATGTTGAAAGTGGTGTGATTACATCGATATGATTATGAGCAGTGATTTATGCCCTGAAAACCAAGTAAATAATACTGTATCACCTTATATTATAAATCAGATGACCAAATCTAATATTGTACCACTAACTCTATGAAACGTCTATGATGATCTTCTAGGCCAGTGAATAAGCTGTGGAATACAATCATAATGAAAGAAATTTTAAAAATATGCGTTTCATTGGTAACATTTTGCCCACAACATACACTAAAGTGTGACTTTTGAATATTTGGGTCCAAATCGAAGTCGTAAAGAATTTTAATCGCCGTCGGCATTACATCGAGTTCGTAAAATTGCATCCGAATGCTTAGATATTGCTGTAAGTAGCTTTCTTGCCTTGAAAGTGACCTGACTTAGACCTTTAAACAGCAATAAAAATCTAACTCGAATAAACTCCTTTTTCTGCGTGACTGGCAGTGGTATTGGCCCGATTATATTTCCAATGGTAAACATCCGTCTTTATGAATGAATGTCTTATTATTTCTACCATAGTGTATACAATCCCTCTTCAAAAAAACCAGTTTCTCGTGAATCTTTTCAAATAACCTTCACTAATTATGGAGATTGTTTAAAAAAGAAGGACTGATATTTATTTCCAGTTTCTTTATGTATAAATGTTTATCTAACGCAGTGGTTTCATTGATTTTGTTGTTTGCCGATCACTTTTCTTTTCTTTTTATTCTGCAGTTCCGCGATGAGTTGGGGATAACTTATAGAAGATCCATCATTACCGATTATTATATGGATAACAATTCCCCGCCAAATACTGGTTTTACTGTATTTGTTAATGAAATTCAACAGAAGGTGAGATTGTTTACTAGATGATTTGTGTGCTTGTATCCAATGTCGCTAAAGATGAGTCTCCTAAGATATCAGCCTTCGGGTGTCCCAGAGGTTAATATACTACCCCATTAATCGCATTGCGTTACTGTAATTGAAAAGGTATCACAAAATGTGCGATCAGTTCGCGCTCTCTAGTAATGCACTCAACTGAATTGACAGGGAAGTTCCTATCAGACCAAGAGACAACGTAAGTTTTGGGTTAGAACTGTGTTGCTGCTGTGATAACCGTCACTGATGGATCTAAGATCTCATTGTTTAAAATGGATATCACAGAAATCACAAGGAATTCAGTACTTTATGTGGATTATCTTTCACGTTCAGTGTTAATAAGACCAACAGTTTCTCAAAGAATCCTGAGGAAAAAAGCTACCGTGTCAATATCAGTAGGTGGATAGCACTTGATCTGACACGAATTCTGGGGAGATGTTCTGTTTACTGTTCACCAACCTAACCTTTAAATTAAGTGAGAATAAAGATTTAGAATAGCAGAGAATACTATTAGCTCATGTGACCTATTAACTTTTATAATTTCTCTATAGAGTTGATGACGTCATCAAGCGTAGTTTTAAAGTATCTTCTAAACAGTATCTCACGTTCACTTTGTGCACTTAATTTTCAAAGATATATTGCAGTAAAAAAAAAGAAGCATTCACTGAAAGTCTGTGTGGCGAATGAAGACTAGATAGATCCTAATAAAGCTTAGTGACAACTTCTTTCACTTGAAAAGAGAAACAAATTTGTTCATATGATCACTGGGTGTGAAGAATACGGTTGAGTTCGTAAATTAACTGGACGTACACTAACATCTAATATCCTTAAAGTATGTGGTAATAAATTAAGTGCTTTTTAGTCCACATATACTCATAAAGATGATTGAAACAGACGTTTTATGCTTCAGATCCCACTAGCTAGAAGTTAACAGTTGGTCAGTAACCAATACAAGTAAGATAATAACGTCACCTGATCGACTAATTTTAGTAGTAATTTTGGTTTCACTCCGCACAGTAAAGTGTTAGGTAAAAGAGATAACTGGCATTTAATACCATTTTACATCATCTCGAGAAATGTTTTTGTAAGGAAAATGTTTTAAACACTAACAATTTCAGCACATTCACCTCTATGGGGGGGGGGGGTTAAGGGGTTAAGGGAAGTTCACACTGAATGGTAACTAGAGTAACGTATTTATTTTCAACAAAGTATAAATGCCTTTACTAATATAACTAGTATACTAAATGAATAAATAAATATACAAAATGTTACTGGGATTATATAGAAAACAATCTCAATAAAGCTAAGGTTGTAGTGGGCTGTAAAGGATACAAAAAATTGGGGCAAGCCTGACAACAACAAAACATTTATAACATTTTACTAACCAACTGTTTTTGAAAATGTCAAACCATGATCTGCTAACGTAACAAACTAGACCTGATCTCAAAGAAAGTCATGAATAAGGTCAAGAAATGAAAGGGTGGTGGAAGACGACCGTCCACTGTTGCATAGTTTTCAACTGTTTAAGCTAGTATTGACTTATGATGTAAGTTGTCGTCATATACGATGGTTCATGTAAGCAAAACTCTTCTGTAGATAAGTTTTACAAGGATGTATCACTATATCCCCCATAGATAGGATAAAAGCCGGTCAGTATAGATAAAATGGTTTTGATGAACTCTGAAGGTCATCCTAGCAACCAGTGAAATAATTTTTTATTTTATTCTGATTGGAAACATATCTTTTTCAGGGATAAATGAACCTGATTTGTAATTAACCCAGTTATTAGAGTGATCTTTGGAGTTACTTGAGCCTTTCTCAGTTTTTAGCTGAGTGCTTTTCACAAACAGTTTTGTATCATGTCTAGGTTAGTTACTAGAACATCATAAACATTTGTTATCCAACCTTATTTCAAGGCCATCAACGACTACATGATGATGCCCAGTACTCCAATCGAAAACCCTATAGCTTCTTAGTTCGTTCTCCGTTTCAAAGTTGCATAGTGGGAGTCAGCCAATGAATTTATTTTTAACTTCCACTTTTACTTTTCTGATGAAATCCGTATTTATGTAAAAAATTATTAGGAAAACCAACAGCTGACGATACTCTTTCGACTGCTTATAAGTAAATTGCATAGAAACAGAATTTGTGAAATAGATTTCCGAGTATCTGGTGATAACCTTTTAGGAAACAAGATTTTTACCTTACCACTTCATTCTCGCTCAGTTCATCTTTCTAAAAACCAAGTAAAGTTACGGCGTCAACTGTTATCGCGAACTCGTAGTCCTTTTGCACTACTGCTAAGATTGCTGACATTGTCCAATCGCTTGAAACTAACTAGACGATCCAAAGAGTTGTGAAAATTCTAGAATAAACATTTTTCCCCCAGGTGATTCATCGCCACTATAAACTCCCTTCTGAGTCATAAATCTTATACTACACCTCAATATTTCTTACCCTACATAATACAACGAATTACCTTGGTTTAAAGCAAAAATTAAACACATTGAACGATGAACAAGTTTTTTACACAAAAAATTATGCATGATTTTTAATAAAATAATAAAAAAGTACATTAAATTTGTTCATTACACATCCACATCATAATGTTTTCAGACCTTGTTGGCTTCAGATTGATATTCACCACGAACTGACATTAATTACAGAACCACTGGAAAACCAGGACCACTAGATAGCTGTTTCGTCTTGATGTGATACTCCCCAGTGATGCCCGCCCATGACCCCTCACCTAGGGCCTTCAGGTCTGGCAGCCAGAACGTTACCATTGAGCCACTAGGGCGGAATTTAGTGATCCACATTTTCTACTTCTGTCATTTAACAATATGCTACGACTTCCATCCAATGCTGTAGCTGAGTGATTGTTTTTACGTCCAACTTGGCTGACCCTACCGGTCAGGACTTCTCATTAAAACTTCAAGAATCACCTCTCGAAGCTAATCACCAATGAGCACTAGATTAATTTAAGTTCGAGGTTTGTGTAGATTTTATTGATTTCAGGTTAGTAATCATTACGGATTGATATTAGTTAAGGAATCGTTTAAAAACTGGGAGCTTTTCTTAGCCGTTTCATACTAGTATGGAGCACTTCAACAGTGCACACACAACCTCACAAAAGATCGAACCCTTGTTGTATTGTCAAATAGGCATACCTGTACTGTAAAGGTGCAAATAAGTTACGTAAACCGAGGTTAAATAAAATGAACATGAAGCAGCAAGAGTGAATTTCAATGAGTTTAGGGAAATCAAGATCATTCACCAGTGCACAAAAGGGCGATAAATGGAATAGGACTAAAAAAATCCTACGGCTTTCATAAAACGCTTTTAAAATCTGCAGTTTCAAAAATTAAATCACTTTGAGATTTAGTAAGAAATATACCTAAGTATACATGTTGTTGGTATATTTCCATCATTAAACATTTTTATGATAAAGATACTTTTCGTTCGATAGAGGCAATCGGCCATATTTGCTGACACATTTTTGGCAAAATTGGAAAATAGTCTTTTGAAAGACCGAATCGGTAATATGGAGTTGTGCTGTCAATGTATGAATGATACTTTTTTAGTCTTTGAAAGGTGCATATGTATTAATTCTATTCTAAGCCATTTCAACCTCGCTCATGCATAAATTCATTTTACGAAAATGAAGTCAATGATTCAGTACATTTTCCTAATGTACTAACCACAAGAAACAAATACGTCTCTATACTGAGAAATATATGTAGAGAAATAATGTACAAGGCACAGTATACGCGCTTTCTCAACTTCATACCGATGAAGTACAAAAGCAATATGATCAAGTGCCCAGTCTTTAGAGTAAGATCGATTTGTTCCAAGGAGTGTGTTGAAAAATAACTACTGTGTTTCCGTGGTATTGTAAGTGAAAACCAATATCTGGACGAGTTCATCAAAACTAGCATCAATCACATTGGTCCTAAATGAGAACTTATGATGGTGGGGAAGAAGCCTTTGTTTCTGAGCTTAGAATTCAAGAGATATGTTTCAAGTGAAATTCTATCACAACGCCTAGCTAGAGTAGTCAACAGGACGTTTTATGGAGGTTGGCTTTGCATACCATTCAGTAGTCGGTGAGTGCTCAGTCTGAGACTAAAGGATAGCCCAGCTAATCATAGCTCTTCATCTTACATATATCAAGTTAACTGGTCCTGGGAACTAGTTATATAGGGCATACGATTAGGCGGGTGCGTCTCCTGATACGAGAGCATTTACCAGCTTGGTTTTGAATGGGCGAAGTGAAAGTGATGAAAAGTTCAGTCCTAGCGCATCTACTAAAAACGGGGCGTCAGATAAGTGCTAATAAGGCTTTCAGTGTCATTCATCGTGTTCTAAAAACAACACCACATACAGCTCGCCAACGCCTGCTCAACATAGCGGGGGCTGTCACAATAAGATTGATCAAGTTTGAACACTGCATTCAGAAAGGAAATGTCCAAGCGCTACTTCTTCCTTGGCCCTCAGCAAACTAAAAGCTACTCCTGTCATCTTATTCGTTATCTTTTTGTTCATTATCATACCATTCATCTGTATATGTATCACCTTAATGTTGAATAATTTAAAAAGATAAAGCGATTTCCTTGCAGTTCTTAAATTTAACTCCATTTTGAAAATGTAATTGTCCCTAACTTGGCTTGATTTCACTCTGTAAAAGTGCATTTTATAATTATAGAACCTAAAAAGAATTTATTGAAAAGAATATTCTTCATTTAGGTTGTTGCTTTTTGTAAAAATTGTTGTTTGGAAGCGCTAAGCTTAGGTTTCGTGGTTGTTTGTACACGCCTGCAGGGCGTATCTCCAACCTTGACGGAGCTAATGTTGTGTATGAGATTTGAACCCATGTCACTCAGTACTCTAGTTAGAGACGTTGCCATTGAGCTATTCCGACCATGACTTATTTTCAGGAGAACCGGATTCACCATATTCCTTTTTCATTGGAGAGTAAACAATTTCATGTTGTTAAGTCCTGAGTGCTGATCGAATTCTATCTATGATTTTGCAATGTAGCCACCACGCTAGAAGACTGACCATGAGGATGCACTGAGACAGATGTTAGTTGGATGAAGAAATTCCACTTCACTTTCAAAGAATCCTGCATTTATTAATGACTTGATCTCTGTTAAAATATTTAATTAGTTAAGAAGGTGGCATAGATTAGGATTTTTCACAATAATCTATTCTCTATATTTTTATAGCTATTTTAACAGTACTCCAATGTTTTCCGTCTAGACTAGAATTAATACTTTTCTGTATTGTTTTCGTTTAATTAAGCACAAATGTTGCGGTTCCTTTGATTATCGTGACTTTCAAGATAATGAATCATTCAAGAGACAAAACTGTAAGCATTGTCTGCTTATTTTAAATATATTAAGAGTTGTCTTAGTAATAGGTTTTGCTGCTAATTAGATTTGTTACTTTTAGGTCCCTCATCATTAAACTTTTTGAGACCGTTTTGTGCTTTTTGGTAACCGCTGAGACAGGGACATAAATAGGATGCTTGTTATTCCAAAATTTCTAGATTATACAATTAGTTTTAGATGTTGCGGCTGAAGTTTTAAGAATTCTACTGACTGTCTGGAACACTATCTATACAATCTGAGCGGCAAACACTGATTGGCTACGTGTCCTGTTCACTGTGTTCGGTTGATTTATGTAAAATAAAAAACTAGTTGCGTGAACTTACATAATGGTTCACTGTATTTGATATTCAATTTTTGGAGGCAGTCTAAAAGAAATGACAATATATAGTTATGAAACTGATAGATAGTGGTTAGCAGTGGAGTCTAGAATGCGCATCTCCTTCTATTTGGGATTGATCGGCTGGATGTATCTGCCTCCCAGTGAGCGATGTTGTTCTCGGTAGGACTCGGACTCGAGACCGATTGCTTCAAATGCCAGAGTGTTACGCACTAGATCACCGACTAACGATAGCCACTTCACGCGCGACGAGTATACTTTTAATGCTGTTGCTTGCACTATCCCGTTGCTGAGTAAAACGAATTGATTGGTCTCTGCTGGCATATGGACTCCTGCACGGATGTCTCGGTATTGCCTGTGTTTGAGTTATATATTAATGATCAATAGTGGTTAGCAGTGAAATCCAAGACGCGTGTTTCGTACACCCAGCTGACGAGCACCAAATAGGACGAAACGTGCGTCCTGAATTCCACTGGTGGCCACCATTCATCATTAATATGTAATTCAGACACAGGCGGTGTCAAGGCATCCGTGCATGACAGCCCATAAGCCAGCAGAGACCCATCAATTCGCTCCACTCAACGATGGGATAGTATAAGCGACAACATGATAGTTATAAAGCTTTTGACACCAGCACCATCTGAACTAATACCTGGTGTCTGATTTATGTAAGCTAACGTAGTCAAGAAAGTTCTCAACTTTACGTGATATTGGTCAAAAAATATGTTATAATGCCTGGTTGATACGCTAACTGAAGGTAGACAAAACACTGCAATCTATAGTGCACTCTTGCCTATAATCAGTTGGACTGTTACTATTATCACTTTGGGTATTTATCCACCATATAATGTTACTGGGGTTGTTTAGGCTTACAGGGAACGTCCTTACAAGAACCTCTGGACATATTTTCCTGCCAAACACAGAAGCTATCTCTTGATATCTGACTTCTAAGAATTTAGTCAGCTATGTAATTGAAATGAACGAAAGTGGGTGGTGTTACCATAGGCATAGGGTCACGACGAGCACAGTGTCATTTATAACTTACTTACTGATACTGGGTGATGAGTGAAGATGAGATGAAAATCCGAACCACGATAGGATTCCAATCAGCACCCACTGGGTTTCCATCTCGGTGCTCTATCAACTGTTGACTGGATTTTTGCCGCTGTCCAGATTTTCACGTCACCTTCAGTCATCACCCAGTTACAATTCAAATCTACCAAACAATGGCTGGCTCAGATAGTCAAACTGATAATCATTTACTGATTAGACCAGATTGGACCCGGTAACTGATATTTTTAACTAAGCGCAGTCTTGTAATGAAAAGTACATCGTTAACTTATTTTTATAAATATATATTCTGACATCAAGGACTTCAGTAGTGAGACATTTAACTATATAGTGAGGTGATGCACAGTCGCCACAGGATTTCTGCAAGACACCAGAAGAGACACGAAGCTGAAATATTGATTTGAAGTCATGTTTACGGAGTTTTCAGTGATAGATGCTGAATTAGTGGTTTTCATAATCAGTGATAAAAGAAGTTTAAAAAACTCGGGATCAAAGGAGTCAAATAAAAAGAAAAATAAAGATTTATAGTCGTCCTGGAAGTTACTGAACTACTGACTTCATTAGGCAATAGCTATTTTTTTAAATGAGTATTTCTCACTCTGTTTGTTGACTTACATTACAAGGAAAGCTAAATTGCAGAGTATGCTAATTAATTTAAAATGAACTTCAATGACTATTATGGAAGTGTTGATCAGTAATCAGTAACCAATCAAGAGTTTTGGTTCCACAGAATTATGACAAAATCTCTGAATGAGACATGAAGTTACTTCATTAACCTAATTTACCTTCTCTTTGTACCCCATTGATCATCAGACTCAAGATTCCTACACCTAGGAAAACAATGTGAAGTCATTTTTTGAAAAAGCAGTCATAGAACCAAAACCATAAATCCTTAATCAGGAAGTCAAAGCAAGTATCTGGTGTGTTGTAGTATTAATTAGCCTTCACTAGAATGGACTCTTATTGGACATTAGTTAGCTTCTGAAGACCCACAATACTGACATGAAAGTTCCCAGTGTGCTTGAACTTACATGACATTATCTGTTGACCAAGATACTTTTCAGCTGGTTCTAAAGTTGAAATAATAGCAATGGAAAATTAATTGAAATTTTCTGCGTGAAACAAATTAACTCGTGCATAGTGGTTTTCTTGAAAGTTAGTATGCTCTAAAATGGCACTACAAAAATCACAGTTGAACAAAATAAATTCAGTATTCTCTTAAAGTAATGCTAATCTAACCGTTCTAAGTTTTCCCTTCCAGATAAAATTCCAGCCTCATGTTGTAAAGAAATGAATAACAAAGAGTGCTGGGAACGCCCAACATCACAGAACAGTTACCGAGACAATGTGAGTTTCATTATTAGTGTCCGTGGGGACAATCATCAAGTGTTTATTAGGTATTGAGATAGAATAAATATGCATTACCAATTGGTTTATTCAAAATGTCATCATATTTTTACTAAAAAGTAATTCGATGCAATATACAGTTATGGAAGAATTATGTCTTATCCATCCTATTGTGAGCTGAAACCAATGACACGTCTCAGATATCAAAGTGGAAAACAAGACATCACATCAGTATGAAGTCTGTAATTAAGAGGGAATCGATCAGATTCACTTTGTCTATCAGCGTCAACTCAGAGATCCTACCTGTCTAATCTCTAATACTATGTTAAACAAAACTAACCTTATTTTGGGGCTATAAATATCAGCTCATTAGTTTGTCATTAGCTTATTTTGAACTATTGGTCGACACTATAAAAATTGAAAACATTATTCTAGAGCTTCTTTTGGAATAGTAATTCATGTGAAACGTATTTGCATGACTGCTTACTATAATAACAGTCAGGTAACTGAACTCCACTTATGAATAAATGAAATCCGATTTTTAAGCACCGATGAATTCCATGTAAGTAACTCTGACTTCTAAATGATGTGACCTGTGCTGGACAAAAAACGCAATTTAACGAGCTTCACATAACACAGCTGTCAATAGCGTTAGGTGTATAAGGTTAACCGAGTTCTGTCACAAGGGACACTACGTCTTTTCCAGCAATTAGGGAGTATTATTGTACATAATAAGCAAGTTGATGGAAGACTAGTCATAGCTATAGAGAATACAAAAGAGATGAACGTCAATGGAAACTTCAAGTCTTTGAAATATATGTACAGATGAATTACTATGTATTCACGAAAAAAGCTGCCTTAAGGTCAGCTCCCACGAAAATGAGTGTTGGATTTTAATTATTCAGCTCATAAAATTCAAGCCGTCTCTTCAAAACACTAGTCTTTTTCACTACTTTACAAGTGAGTGATTGTCATTCCTACAATTCACTGAGATAATAAGGAAACTTATAATATTGCTCACCTTCGAATGGCTTTTTTGTGTAATTGTACATCCAATTATCTAATTTGAGAGCTAGTAAGTTGCGAATTGCTATGAAGTTCAGAAAAATGATGCACAAAGTAGTCAGCTTTTAGCTTTTACTGGACCTGGGGCGTTTTCCTCAAAAATTTCCAAGCCAGTCTTTTCATTTGAAAGTAGTTTCTTCCTCCTTTTTTACAAGACGAATGATAGCAAAAGTTTGATTACCTGATTCTAGCCACGTAACGTGCAGCACATTTCCTAATTGAAAAGATATAGATTATAGTTTGCTGATGGAAAAATACTTCTTTTAACAATACAGTAAGGTCAAGGAGAAAGGGAAATTATATTTTAGAGAAAGCTAGAAAAGAAGAATATTTTCTGTGATGGTTTTAGAAAATGTTTTTCATAGTGAACTGATGGAGACCAGACCATTTATCAGAAACAGGTTAGTAATTTACTGTTCAGTGGTGATTGATTTTGACATGGATATTCCTCTGCTGTAATGATAAATTGTGTTATGAGGTCCAAAACCAACATACCAGTGAAGATAAATATACACCAGTGTTATTTGAAGAAGGTCACAGTACATAAGGAGCAATCTGAAGTCATGAAAATTCCACCGCTGAATTCCAGTCTAACAAGTATACGATAAAGTGCTGACCGCAAGCCTAGGATGATGTTATGATGTTTGATTGGAAGTAGTATCCGTCTTACTAAGAAATTATATCTCCGACCAGAAGCTATTACGTTATTATCTTTATTTCCCTGGCTGAAAAAACATATTTTCAGAAACTACACATGATCTTAGCCTATACACCTGAGATTTGATGAGCTAAGAGCATGTATAGTATCTATTCTTTGCAGTGTAATTTCCGCAATGGTCTCCAAACTGAGTACAATGAAATTACCTGTATTTCTCGCCTATGGACGACTACTGTGAGCTTACTCAACCCTGTCCACCCGTCGGCCTCATATTTAATTGTCACGAGGATTTGGCCATATTTTCAGGAAACTTAAAATGCTGCCTTTCTGAGATATTCTAAATTCTCATGTCTACTTAAATGATTTGACGACAAACATTTGAAATGTTGATGTTTTATGGACTATTCCCCTCAAGCATATGCTCACGAGTCATGCTTAACAACAGATAACCTTTCACAAAGATTTTCACCGTAGTAAGCAATAATACACGTTGATAGTATTTTTAGATATAAACGAGAGTGTTCATAAAACAAGAGGTGATTAAAGTAAAACTAACTTACTCAGATAGACGTTACTGAGAATGGAATTTATTTCTGTCCACTAGACATTAAACTCGGACAGACAGCAAATTTTCGGAATAGGAAAGATGAAATCATCACACACTAAAGACGACTTATTTGATGATTAAGTCAGCTTTGGCTTTCAACTTCCAAGATATTCATAGCAAATTTGGCCCTAATGTTTATAAGAACAGTGAAACATTGTGTAATGCTATTTCACAGTAAGATATCTGAAACGAGTAAATGCTTTGAAGAATATTTCTGTTGCATATAATCTAAAAGAAGAGGGGATATTCTACCTTAGACTTCCTGGTAGTGCGATTCCATGGTCCTGTCATTAGTGTATATAGTGAATGTGTTCATTGGTCACTTTCTCATTAACATACATCAAAAATGTGCATCTAATATTTGCCTTCTTTACACTTCCTTTTTAGGGTTGTTCTGAATTCATATGGTCGGCAGCACAACCAAGCTATCAGGTCATTCTATACTCACTCATCGGTCTGCTAATAACAACGGTCAGTAAATGAATAGCTTTTTCAATATTAGTGTTAGATTTACTATTGAAAAGGTGTATACACCTATGAAAATTGGCATGTTTAACTATTCTGAAATTGACAGTAACTCTATGAAATCTGTCAGACTGTACCAATGAGTAGCTACTACTTGTTGCACTGCATATTTGGTATTGTTATGGATTTAAATACCTATAGAAAATATCTAATGACAAGCAATTCTTCTGTAGGTTTTTATAAGATTAGAAACGAAACATGTATGTAACAGTTTGGTATGCAACGTCAGAGTTAGTTGATGTGGTTATGCATTTTTGGGTGAGCGTTGGTTTCATCGAGGTTGCGTATGTCCCTCCCTGATGACAACTTAGAAGAATGCAGAGTGTGTAGGGCGAATTTGCCTCTCAGTTATCTGTGACTGCATATTCAGTCAGTCTTATTGCACCACTGTGCAGAGTTTCGTGGCTCTGTAACCACTAGAAACTAGATGGATATTATTTTTTAATTATTTGTCCCTTGGGTTCTTAATGGAACACAGGGTTTCAGTAGCACGTCTCAACTACACTCTGTACCCTGCAATCTTTTGAACCTGTAGCCACGACTGCCCACAAGCTCTCATTTCTTCCTCACACCATCTAATACATGTCATCCTAGCCTCAGACGCCCAACTCGTCATTTCCCATTCGAATTCCACTCGAAGGCCTGGCCTGGCCTGTCCTGTCCCAGTCCACAGTGATGTCCCCAGTCTTCTCAGTGTATGCGCAATCCATCTCCACTTCCTTCCAGTGCATATTTGTTGAACGACAGCTTCCGGGTTGGTTCGTTGCCAGCAAGCCAGCCAGAGTTCCTTGTTGCTTATTCTTATTATTCTGGCAATCCATGTGATCTTCAGTAAGGAGCCAGCGTAGGCGGCAGTTGTTGATGAATGTCTGTGATTTGTTGGAAATCGCTTTGGTAACGCGCCAAGTCTCTGAGTCATACAGAAGCACTGACTTGACTGAAGTTGGTGTTGAAAATCCGGATATTTATTGTTCCACATGTTGAGTGCAGAATATCTCGACACTGGTTTCGGGCTAATGAACGCCTGTCTTGCCATTTTTCCGATCCAGGCTGTCTTTGATGTCCTCGTCTGTGCCGCCACTTGTAGTTGAAGCCATGCTGCGTGGATAGGTGGAAGAGGCTACTTCCTTCAGGTTTCTCCCATTGATGGTGATCGGAGTTTGTTGTTGGTGTTGTTGTTGGTTGGGTATCTTCATCACCTCTGTCTTCTCTACACTCACTTGAAGTCCCGTTTCCGCTGCCACGCCTCTTCTGCCAACTTGTTAGTTTTCGCCTGTAGATCTTCAAGTTTGTGTGACATCGGACACAAGTCATCATCGGAGAAATCCAAATCTTCTTTCAGGGTCTTTTCATCGATCCAGCCAGCGTATCACCCTCTTCTCGTTCCCCACTGTTTGTTGCATAATCCAGTCGACTACAATCAGGAATATCATGAGTGATAGTAGGCGGCAGCCTTGTTTTACTTGACTTGACTTTCACTCGACTTCAGAGGCGTCTCTGAGCTTCCCATTGTGAATTACTTGGCTAGCATGTGGCGTCTTCATATAGTTGTTGAATGAGATTGATAATGGTTTGTGGTATTTTGTAGTGTTGAAGCGACTGCCTGACAAATTACTCCTCGGTCTACGCTGTTGAAGGCTGGCCTTTTCAAAGTCGATGAAGTTGAAGTAGAGAGTTGAGTTGACTGCCATTCTATACTCTGTTCTATGATGATGTGAAGCGTAGTGTTGCAATTTGATCCGCACATGATTTGTTCTTCCTGAAGCCAGCCAGCCAGCCAGCCAGCCAGCCAGCCAGCCAGCCAGCCAGCCAGCCAGCCAGCCAGCCAGCCAGCCAGCCAGCCAGCCAGCCAGCCAGCCAGCCAGCCAGCCAGCCAGCCAGCCAGCCAGCCAGCCTGTTTCGGTTATAGTTTTGAATCCAGCTCATCCTTCAGTCTCTCCATGATGATGCGGCTTGATATTTTGCTTGCCCTGGATGAACAGGAGCGTGATTCCGCGCCAGTCCTTGCAAACACTTATGTCTCCCTTCTTCGAGAGTTTGACAAGATAACCCTTTTTCCAATCGCCAGATACCTTCCCTTCCCTCCTAACCTTCTGCAGCAGTGGTGTGGTGTGGTGTGGTGTGGTGTGGTGTGGTGTGGTGTGGTGTGGTGTGAGCATGTCCGCTGTTGTCTCTGCGTCTGTTTTCAGAGCTACTGGTGGGATTCCATCTGGTCCTGCTGCTTTTCTGCATTTCAGTAGCTTTATGGCGCTCAGGACTTCGGCTTTCATCAGAGGGCTTGTTTCCACTTGTAGTTCTGTGGCTGCAGGTGGTATAACTGGATGAAGTGCAGGTGGGGGTCTATTCAAGAGCTTTTGAAGTTGTCGGCACATTGTTGTTTCCTTTGTTTCTCTTCTCTGGTGATTAAATTTCCTCCATCATCATTTACTGGTTTCACGGGTGTTGATCTCTCTCTCCCCTCCTAGATAGTAACCTGGTTATTTGGTACAATGTTGTCAGGTCTCTCCTACCTGAAGCCTGTTATGCTCCACTTGCCAGTTTGTCATGGAAGTGTCTTTTGTCTTTCCGCGCACTGTTCTTCACTTCTTTGCCCAGCATTTGATACATTGTACTCAGTTCCTCTTCTTGTTGTTCATCCTTGCACTAGTTCGTCTTCTGCTTCACCATCCTCCTGTACTTTATGAGCTTCCATGTGTCCGTCAAGATCCATTCCTCATCTTCTTTCTTCTTCCTTCCTAATACAGTTATCCAGGTTTCTTTCCGTATAGCTTTCAAAGAGTAAACTAGATGGATAGAATACAGGTTATCACTTGGGGTCAGACAACATAAAATTGGTCGCCTTCGAACGACCAGCCAACATATATATATATATATATATATATATATATATATATATATATATATATATATATATATATATAATGTGATGTCCACATTCTGTAATTTGAGTCTCAGATTCATATTACCGAACACAGTAAATCAGCAGCATTGGTTATGCAAACCGCTCAGAGAACAAGCATCTTTTCTAAACTACCTATGGTATTCAATTAGTTTATTGGGTAAGTTGTAACTATTTAGTCAAATAATATGCTGAAGCCAGGTTGGCATTTGATTATACACAATATTTGTGACTAATCTTTTCTTAATTTTTTCGCCATCTGTATAGTTTTTGTTTGCTGTTATTGCCATCTATCTGCTTACACGTTATTCAAGGGAGAAAATTCAACTACTGTAAGCACGTGTCAGCTACACTGTCTGATTTCTGCTTATCCACTTATCTGCTCAGTTCAGCTTCAGTACGTATATCTTATGCATGTAGTAAACAGAGTTCGAAATATCCAGTGGACGCTGAACTCATCAAAAACATTATTACCTGATAATTATTATTACTACTGTGTCGATGAGCAATGTAATCAATAATTTTTTTTCTGTATGACTGCATGTAAGCTAATCAGTGAAGATTTAAAATGACTGCAAAATATTTTACTTACAATAAGCAGGTCAAAATAAAGTTTCAAAATTTACTATTTCATTCAATGTTATTCTGTCAGTAGTTTTCCCCTTCATAAACGCTATCCTGTCATCTACTTTGTAAACGGATCACGGAAGAATGGCAAAATAGAAAGAGTGTTGACAAAAAAAGCAAGGTGAAGTAGAAAATACCAGCTAATGCACATTATTGGCCTTATTCATACGTGGGTAGTTAGTGCAAATCAGCTGAAAAATCCACTTAAACTGTTTTCTTACCCTCCCGTATATCATCTCATCTCATCTACACCTGTACTACCACGTCAGACTATGCATGTATCACAGCATTAACATGAAGTAACTTTATGATGAATAAGCACCATGGAAAATATATCAATGCCTTTTCGACAATTGTACACCTTTGCTAAACTAAAAGTGAAAGTGAAGTAATCCAGGTGAATGAATGATGTAATTGTCTGTTCTTCTGTCTGTTGTGTTTTGTTTACGCGTGGACTGTTTTTGCTTATCTGCTTTCAAGTTTATCACCAGTTCAGTACTTTTCATGCATACCATCCCATATTGTATTCGCTTTCAAAAACTTTATTGTGGTTTTTTTCCGTAATTTGTGCCTGATGAAAATCATTAAAGTTCAACAAGTCCCCTAATTAATAATTATCATTTCAACCTTTCAATAACAGTGATTAATAGTCACTACTGTTCATCTTATTTAAAACAGTTGTGGTTTATTGGTCTGACTAGTTGACTTCCAACGAATCGAAGACGAGTTCAAACTCATTCTCCCACTTCTAGTGTGAACGGTCGAACAGCATAGTTAGGGCATCATGCAGTAAAGGTTATAGCTGAAATTTTTTAAGTGGCTGTTGAGTAGTTCGATATCTCTTAACGGTTGTTCTTGTCAACTAGGGTTTCCGCAAAGTTTGTCAAAATCTTCCCTGAAAAAGGGTTACCACGAAATGTTGACGAGATGTCAACACGTAAAGCATATAGTAAATATTTTCTCCTGTTGGTAATATTCGATATGGAGAGCACAGAATGAGATGAGAGCAGAATTGATGACAACACACCCTTACTACAACTGTGATTTGTTATTATCGAAAGAGTTCCATTAGGCTGTGAAAAAGAATTAGCGAAAGACAATTCAGCAAAGAACCTTTTCTTTCTTATGAATCACTTTCGGAAACTCTACAACCGTATCTATAGTTACAGAGAAAAATTATGTCCAGTAATGGCTAGTAGTCAATACAATGTCACTGAAAATCGTTTCCCGAGTTACGGGGTAACTATGGCTAAAAAGTCAACACATGGTCTGTTTTAGAACGTGTTAAGAATTCGTTATAGGATTACTATGTAACTGTGCAATAATCCAGAAAGTAATAGAACAGGTGCAAATCGCAAGACAGTCTAATTGAAATAAATACAGAGGAAGGTAAGAGGATAAAATAATGTTGTTGACAAACAAGACGAGGGTAGTACTAGGGAAATTACTACCAAGGTGAATTTAGAGACTTGGTGTAACCCTTCGGATGCTAAGATTAGGCTTTAACTGATAAATTACGAAGCTTAGGTTACGAAGGATAGACAACCACTTGGGACACTTTCATGTTTCTTACTTGTTCAACTATTCTTGTGGAACTGGCCACATAAGCTACAAAAAAGTGTTCTATTTAAACGCTCCTCAGAACGTTACCTTGAATCGATGTCCAAAAATGAGTGAAGACGATTAAAAGCTAGATTCTTTGAAATCTAGTTAACTCTGGTTACCGCTCAACCAGAAGCCCTCCTCAAGTTCACTATTAAGTTACTCTAATATGCATGTGGTCTAATAAGAAATGGTCACTGAAATGATTAAAACAGTCTACACAGTTGTCTGTTGACAGTGAAAAAACCACGGTTCCAAGCTGACCTTCCGAATCTAGCAAGCCTATCTGTTTTGGTCCGAAAAAACGTAAAGACTACTTTTGAAATTACACTTCCAGTAAATAACACTTTATCTCATAAGTGAAGGCAGCTTTAAGATCTGTCACATAACAATCTATCATAAGACATGATAGATTACCTCGAAAAGCCTCAGATTTATTTTAGTAGATGAGACATTGGCTTTCGGCCCTGCTTGCAGCCTTTAACATTTTGTTAAACAGTAGTATAATACTTGATCGTCATTTATATAGTGAATAACCTCAAAATTTCAAATTGAATCAACATAAAATGTGTAAGTACCTGTGGAATGAATTTCAACTTTCGCTATTTTGCAAATTTTTCTGTAGACTAAGAAAATGATATATGATGTTGTGATATTATCCTGTCGTTGACTGGATGGAATCGATTGGCCTCTATTAGCATATGGACTCCTGCGAGGATTTCTCAATATTGCCTGTCATTTCGGTTTTGATATTATTGGTAGATAGTGGCTTACAGTGAAATTTAGGAAGCACATTTCGTCCTATTTCGGATTCGTTAGCTGCATGTATCTGACTCTCAGTGAGCGATGTTGTTCCCACTAAGATTCGAGTCCAGAACCGATCACTTTGAACTCCAGAGCGTTACCCACTAGGTCACAGAGTTTTAGTAGGGAAAATATCACTCACTGAGAGGTAGATGCATCCTGGTGATTAGTCCTGAGTAGAATGAAACGCGTGTCTTATATTCCACCGCTAACCACCATCCATTACTAATAACAAAATTATAAACTGGACATGTCTGATTGATGTCATCCCGCGAATACTATAAGCAAACTCATAATTTATGGCATGGTAACTGCATGTCTTCTGGACCCATCTTACTGCTTTCTTATTTCGGCAGGGACCACTCACCATGAGGTTGTTAATCAAACTGTAGTCCATTCGTATGAACTTTTGTTATTTTCGATCTCAATTTGCAAGTTACTTGATCTGTTGTTCAAGGTACCTTTAGTGATAGTTCCCTGATCGTGAAACAAATATTTAGTCTTCAACACGTCAGCAGCAGCTCCTGTCGACTGCTCTTAGTAAACGAAATTAGCGTATAGTCACCTGTTTCTGAAAATAGTGTGAGGCGTGGCTCGTCAAAATAAGTGGTGAGTATTATTACCGTTTACAGATCCAATTTTGACTTATCTAGTTCCTATGGGACTTATTTCTACAAGGATAGTCATACTGAACACTTGAAAATAGTTGAGTTCACAATGTTTCAGAATTAAAATTTGGATAAAGCTCCTCCTCTGAAGCACTGCAGGTAGTAAACATTTCAAATTTATGGCTGCTGCTCAGTGTCTTCATGAACTATGTTTAATCGTTCAGTGAATAGTTGATGAGAAGATGACTTGTTAGGCAATTTTCAGAGGGTAAGTTGGTAGTAGACTTCAGCTTGTACACTGAAAACGATGGTTTTAATGGTTCTATTCAAGGTTATCCTGCTTTTGTGCTAAAGCAGTGAAATGAATCAACCCGTTTTGAGTACATTTCATATTATGTCCAAATAACTATGTGATTCATAAAGCGAAAATTTAAATATCCAAATTCGTATTGTTGTCAGTCAGCATGCCGTAAGTCATTATATGTCTTCCGGCTTCAAAACTTTCGATATTTCTAAATCTATAAGATCTCACATTATTTCATGAAAATAAATGATCTACTTAATCAGTCAAAAACATTCTGAGGTTGCATGAAAGTAGAGTCAACTGACAATGAAAAACGTAGCTTAGATTGAGCAACATAATGTTTTGTTCAACACACAGGGTTATATGCTCAGATATGAGTTTTAACTTATCTTAAACTTCTTTCCAGTCACTAAATTACACAAATCCATCCAGTTCAGCTAGTTGCTTTGTAGATGTTGTCTATCGTTTCAGTACAATTTAACAGTAAAATGAAAATATACCATAATAAAAAAGCAACTGTTGTTGAATAATTTGGTGAAAAACAAAATAGAATGACTAAAACGTCACAATTAGGCTGTATTTTGTTTGAAATATATCATTTATAAATTTTAATGTAGCAACTTTGTAAACAGGATACTGAGTATGAATGAACTGTCACCTAGTTAGTATTAAAATAAACTATTTCCTATAAGCTGCAAAATATGTATGTTTTAAACACTCAAAGAAGCCTGAAAATTGTCATTTGTATTTCATCACGAAGATGACACAGGAAGGTTTATCTGTTGTTGATCAGTCAGCTGATACAGTTATTTAAGTCCAGTTACTTACTGAACTGAATAATGCGTATCACTAGTGACAGATCTCTAGGAATGCAAAATAAATCTGATTTGAAGTCACTAATGCTTAAGAAAAGCTTAATACAATCGGCATAGACCTATACATACGACAAATAGATTTGAATCGGAGCTTATTTCAATTACAACATTATCTCTTGGAGTATTGCCATTACTGAAGTAAAGTAACCTGGTCTCAAGTCAGGTAGAAAATGTTTGTGGAATGGAGGCTAATAAGAGTTTATGGAATCAATAAATGTGATAGCTAATTTTATTCTAGCCTTAAATTTGATCCCGTACTACTCTGTTTTGCAGTAACATTGTTGGCTTGATCGACACACTTTACTCAGATCTTAGGATAATTTGATATGATAGTGTACACTATCAACTGACTGCTTGATTCTCATGGGAAAAACACAGTTTAAATCAGTTTTCGTTGCAAGTACTCCATAATAAATAAGCAAATAAATAATTTTATGCGAATATAGCAAGAAAAACTAAATTTACAGAAAGAAACTAATTTTCATCAGCCACACACAGTCAAAAATCAAAACGTTAATTAGAACAAAATAATGCAATTACGTGCTCAAAATATAAATACTCAATGGTGGCATAAAAAGCAAAGCAGAATGTTTGCTCACCTACTGATTTCAACTCAGTGAGTTAATCTCAATCCTATAGTTAGAGTACTTTCTCTACATTGTAACTATAGTTGTGATTTCACGTTGCTATACAGGGCCAAACTGCTCGACCTCTGTTGGACTCCAATATGGATGACTCAATACTACCAGGTATTCATGATGTTATACTGATCTTGGTGACTAGCAGGGGAATCCAGGACGTGTATTTCGTCTTATCTGGGACTCGTCAGCTGGATGTACCTGCGCCCCAGTGAGTGACGTTGTTCCCACTGAGGCTCAAACCCAGTACCCCTCTCTTCGGATACCAGATATCGAGTGATTCGGCCCGTATGGGAACGGGAACGTACAAGTGTCATTAAAATAACTGACATCCGTTGCACAGTAGGTGGCTATTACGCCTCAGTGGCTTACTGGATAACGCTCTGGCATTTGAAACCTTGAAGTATTGGGTTTAAGCTTCGATGGGAACAACATCAGTCACTGGGGTGGAGGTACATCCAGCTGACGAGTCTCAGATAGGATGAAACGTGCGCCCTAGGTTTCTCTGCTAGTCATCAAGATCAATATTAATTCTTTAAATGTTACATGAGCTGGTAATTAGTGCTCAATATTGCTGTTGTGACATTCTTTATGCCTAAGTACAGTTCTTATACCTTCCATTTCACAACAATGATGTTGACAAACAACTTGCTACTGTTATTATTATTATTATTTTATTCTAATATCTATTTTCATTTTTACTGTAAGAAGCTCGTGAGAATTCGTGAAATAAAATAATAGTCTTTTTCTACAAACTTAGTTCTGTTTACTTTATTCCAATTTACCAAGGAAACCAAATGCATTGGAATTCGATACGTTAA